CAGACACTCACCACTCATCAGGGATTCCTATAATCCGAAGAATACTCTTTGCCACCTGTTTCCACTGTCGACCAATACCGGGACATTGCATCTCAGTCAGCATTTGGTCTGTTATCAACTCCGTGCAGCCAGTTATACTACAACGAAGTTCAACGCAACGCCGCTACCAGCAAGTCGACCGCTGCCACCCGAACACAGACAGATGCCAATTGCCCGCAGGTCAAACCTGGGCAGGTGGCAAACCTGTGGGTCGTGGAAGCTCGCTCGACCTGTTCGCGAGTTCTGCGTGCAGGAGCGATCTCCTGCTGATTACGAATTCCTTCTAAGCCAACAGCCCATTAATCCGAGTCCTCATTGCTCCAACGCATTGTTTGCCAACTGCTGAAGCTTGCGATGAGACTCGTGCCCGAGTTTGCTTTTGCCGTTCGCCAGCGGCCTTAATGTGCTTTTGCTATAATCGTTCGCTCGTTAAGAGCAGAACGGAACGTAAAGAGACTTTTGACTTTTAAACAACTTTTATTGCCGCCTGCAGCAAAAGCACTGGAGGCGATTCCGATGTGAAATACACAAAGTCACCAGCAACACAAATGAAAATAAACGCTACAAATCGACGCGCTGTGGCGCTAAAAGCACCGCGCACAACACGAAAAAAAGTCATTTGGTGGTGGTGGTCATCGTAGAGAGAGAGACTGGTTCGACAGCTCTTGGTAATGCGAAACACGAGGAGTGTTTAGGTTTTGTTGGTTATGGAGGCTGGTCTCCACCTCAGAGAGTGCAATTTGGAAGTTCCGGGATGCAGTTGATGCTGCTAATTGTAAAAGAAAGAAACCAACTGTGTCTCTGCCACCAATGAAAGTGCAAACGGGAGAGACAAAGTAGACAGGTTCAAGTTGAGACAAACAGATTGACAGACTTTGACTTTTAAACAACTTTCATTGCCGCCAGCAGCAACAGCACTGGAGGCGATTCCGATATGAAATACACAAAGTCACCAGCAAACAAATAAACAAACGCTACAAATCCACGCGCTGTGGCGCTAAATACACCGTGCACAACACGACAGAAAAGGCACGTGGTGGTGGTGGTCATCGCGCACGCCAAGGTGACGAGCGAGCGCTTCAGAAGGTGAACACGAGGGTGCCGTCCATGCTGGTACAGAGGGCTTTTTCGGGCTCCCCAGCGTTCGAAGAAGACGTGCACATCACCGACATGTGTGTGGTACGCGTGCTCCAGCCGGAGCCGCGCTTTAAGCAGGCCTCTGAACAGTGGAAGCACAGAGCAGCCGTCAGTGTCACCTTCCAGCATATCTTTCCTCGTTCTGTACACCGCCAACTTTGCCTGAGCACAGGCGAAGTTGGCGAGGTCATGGCGATTGTTAGCCAGGTAAGGCACCCCCCCCCCCCCCATATACGAGACAGGCAGCAGGAGGAGAGATTGACACAAGGATGGATGGACAGACGGATACACGGACAAAACATACACATCGTTAGGTGCTGCTGCTACACTGGCAGTGTTGCACAACTGCACTTAACCAAGCAAAAACACACGCAACACATTCGTCAAGAACACTACCTCCTTCGGAGTCCTATCAATCAGGACCATTGCCCGAAACGTTGCCCATTATTTGTATACAAATATGTTATTGTTTTTGCAAGGCGGGTAGACAGAAGGGCAAGATAGATGTGGATCTTTAATTGACGCATGTTTAGCAGGTAGGGCTCCATGGGCCACGGGGCTCTGTTTCGTGGGCGGCCAACGACGGACACAGATGTTGTACGGTACGGATCTTGGTCGCAACCGTCGTCACGAAGACCGCGATACCAAACATCGAGCGTTGCGGTGCGCACTCTTTGCACAAGAAGAGAAACAGGTCGGTGGAAAAAAGACCCGTCAGAAACAAAAAACACCGCGGATTCATTAGTCTACGAACAAGTTCATGTTAAGACAGGCTAACAGACGAGCAAATAGACTGATCAGCAGACAGGCGGCAGTACTTGCCAAGAGAGGGAGAGAGATAGAGAGAAAGGCAGGGAGCTGTACAACGCGGTGTTGCTAATCCTAAGGGAGTGCTCATAACACACGATCGGTTGTGTTTGTACACCACTGCCAACACATTCCCCTTACTTTTGATTATTTTCGCTGTTCTATTTTTCGTTGTGTGTGTCGGATTTAGAATTACAGCTACCAAACAAACCCCAGCAAGGTTTCCTTTCCAGAGCGTGATCCAGAGCGCAAGCAGAAATGTTACGCTCCACAAACAGAAATCAGCGCGCTACTTAGGCATGCACGGGTATAACGACCTGTCTGATGGCGTCCGTCTTCAGTGGCTTCGAGCTGCAAACAACAAAAAACAATCTTGATTTGAAGCTTTCGTGACTGCAGGAATCCATACTCTTTGGTTCTTTTGGTAAAGTCAGGTAGGTATAAAAATAAAAAATATTTTTTTTATGGATCGTGATCACGTTAATTATCTGAAGCGGTTCTGGGCCTCGCCACGGTCGACTCAGCCTTCAATAAGTACCTGGTGTTAGTGGTGTAAAACATCAGCATTGAGGAGGAGTCAAAGGCGGCACGGTGTGCGTGATGCTGGCTACACCATCCCCACGTGCGCCGTACCACCCTAAAATAGGTGCTTGCTAACATAACTCGCCCGAGTAGTCTGTGTAGGCTACACGGGCGGAGGTGATGGGGAGGAAGGGGGGTCAGTGGTCAATGTATTATCGAGGATGGCGTTTTGTTGTTCTTAAGCGAATTTCCCACCGAGACGATCACAGGCACGGGGCGATTCATCTCCCCGGGATCTGTGTGCCGAGTAAACGACGCTGCTGCCGCTGCGTAAGTTGTGGGGGGGGGGGGGGGGTTGCGGCCTCCGTGTTGCCGCAGTGCTCGCAGGAGAGAGAGAAACACAAGCCACCACGGGGCGCGTCTCATAGTGCACAGGCGAACGTCGCCTATTGCCGGGAGTGTGCGTGTTTAAACTGGTTGAGTGTGATGGCGATGATGATGCTGGCAATGATAATGTAATTGCTGCTGATGCCAAGGAGGATCCTGCTGCTGCTGATGATGAGGATGCTTCTGCTGCTGGTTATCCCGATGCCGCTGCTGCTGATGATGATGCTGCTGACAATGACAATGCTCTGATTGCTGCTGGTGATTTTGCTGATGATGACTTAAGTGCTCCTGCTGTTGATGCTCCTGACTGCCCTTCCTGTTCGTGACGTTGACGACGATTTATGGCAATGCTACTTCTGCTGATGATAATGCTGCTGTATATAATAATGACAGCACACCACTACTGCCGCGTCATCTGCTGCTGCTGATGATGATACTCATGCTTTTACTTGAGTCGTTTATAGTGTTAATTGTTTTTTAATATGCCTTCGATAGCAATTTATTAAAATGCTATTTTGTTTGTATGTAAATTGCTTTTATTATTCTTGCGCTTTAGTTTTTTTACAATGTTTTATTTTATCTGTACAGCACTTTGAATTGCATCTTTTGCACGAAAGAGTGCTATAGATATAAAAGCGTGATTGCTTGACGATGATTGAGATAGTCATGACGACGATTCCATCGGCGGAGTTTGACTCCTGTATTTGGGTGGGGGGCGGGGGTGCAGGTCGTCCCTATGTCCCTCAAATTAGGAACAGCGGGTGCATTGAACTACTGTCTTCATTGTAATCTTCATTGTAAACTACTGAAAATAAATTAATAAAGGTGCCCATTTTAAAGGGGGGGCGCGACGTTGCCCCCTCTCGTGCACCCCAAAAAAACTCGTCCCACGGACGAATTTACCACTATGGCTCATATTGATGATCCTCGAAGCTGCGATTGCTGCTGCTGATGATGATTTCGATGATGTATTTGTGTCTGTGCAGGAGCAAGGCAAGTCTGGGAGAAAATATCCTGGCATCTTGGCAGCGATATATACGTATTTTCGATTTTAAAAAAAGTTTAAATTAATTTATTTTGAGAAAATCCGACCTGGACTCCACGCCTGCGTGCCACAATCGCCGCTCGCTCGACACAGAAGCATCTTTGTTGAGACATTGGGACTCGAGTTCACTCACTCGGGAGGTTATTCTGGGCAATAATCGCCACCGTGGAAGCTGCGAGTTGTGGTGCTGCGGGACCCATATCCAGATCGTATTATATTCCTTCCCCCCCCCCCTCTTATTATGTGCTTGCTACTTCTGAAGAACTTTGATCACGCCCATGTGTTTGACAGCAGACTTCTTTGAGATGCTGGGGAATAGGGCTCATTTGTGATGGCGCGCCGAGTGAATGAAACAGACGCAGCTTTGTAAAATTCACTTATTTATGCAAAATGTTCAAGTATTGTGTATAACATTTGTGGGGGGGGGGGGGGGCGAGGATGGAGGGTTGGAGCGGTGACACAGCGGTGAATGGAACTGTGCTGTGAACTCGGTGACCTGAGTTCAATTCCCGGCCACGGCTAACATCAGTGGCCGAGTGATATCCAAACGAGTCCTTAAGCGACCCGCAGTGACCAGCGTGGTGACGTGTGGTCAAACAACCCACCGTGGCCTATACTGCATTTGGGAGGTCTTCCTCCAGCGGTGGATTGATGAAAAGGCCGCTGTGCGTGTTCACGTGGCGTGCCTATGCACACCCGCCCCCCCCGTCGGCCCTTTTCCCAATCTCAATTTAATAAACGTCCCGGCAAAAAACGGAACGTTGGCCCAACGTTCAGGGAACCTTCAGCCTACGTTGGAGAACCTTAACCCAACGTTGGAGGAACGTTGGGCCAACGTTCGTGGAACCTGAAGCCAACGTTGGAGGGACGTTGGGCCAACGTTCGTGGAACCTGAAGCCAACGTTGGAGGAACATTGGGCCAACGTTCGTGGAACCTGAAGCCAACGATGGAGGGACGTTGGGCCAACGTCCAACGGTTTCGACCACTTGTCCCAACGTTTGCCCAACGTTGCACTTTTGCTGTGGGTGTTAACTCTAATCTGTTATAACGTTGATGGTGCTGTTTGTTTCTGGCAGCTTGACGTCACTGGTGGTGTTTTGCGACGTCGCATCAGCTGATGCTGTGGGGGGGGGGGGTGGCGGTTACGTCAGGGATCTGTGTACGGTGAAGCACAGCAGGCGTATAAACACACAGATCGAAGCAACGAGAAGCATTTTTCTTGCCGAAAGTTTATTATTACTATGTACAAAATATAATTCTGTAAGCAATGTTAATTTTCGAGTGCATTAAACTCTCTATTGTAACTCAATCGATCTCAAATGCGACGAGGGTGAGGTTCATTTTCGAATCTCGGCTCCAGGAGGCAACACGAACTGCAGGTTGCGACGGTATATTGGGACGCGGACCGCAAGAATTAATGGGCACCATGAATGATCTGACGAGAGAAAAACAAAACCCTCCCAACTGTCGAATCGTTGTCGAAGCAAATGTTTACAACAACAACAAAAAAAAATCTAAAATAAAAACATTTCATCGTTCAAGAATAAGAAATTTCTGAGAAATTAATAGCCATAAACAGACTGTACTAATATAAAGAATCCAGATTAAATTGTTTTAGCTCACTCAGTTATAATAATAAGAATATCGCGGACGGACGGCAGCAAGGAGAGTGAAAAACAAATGAAAATTATACGTTTTAAAAAAGTAACAACAATAAAATATGCACGCTTGATAAAATTATCACATTTAGTACGCTAAATGACACTTCCGTTGAATGCGTATGAATTGAAACAAAAACGTTGGAAATCGTAGATCGGCAGGCGATGTACGTCGCACCCGTCATCGCTTCGGTCTGCGATGTTTCTTTTATTTTTTATTTCCCAGACGGGTTCCTTCCAACGACTGAGCCACTCTTTTGCAATTTACACTGGCTCACGTTTTTGTTGTTGTTGTTATTGTTCGATGCCACTCATCCGCACACCCGGGGCACGGGCAAGTTTAAACCGAACAACAAACAAAACCGATGAAAAACGTGGCTTGCAGTTTGCATTGATACAGAGGATCAGCCCTGTTTGCCAATCCACCACTGGATGAAGAGGACCTCGCCAAGCCTCGCTCGACTCGCGGAGAATTCGTCGGTGAGTGTGAAAAAAAAACTAAAAAAACTATTTTTTTATTTTACCAGGTAAGGCCCACACTGAGCTATATCGCTCTTTTTTTTTCAGAAGCGACCTGGCCACAAATGATAGCTCAACGAAGTGGCTTATCATCATCACTTGGACATTTGTAGCAGCCAAATACTCTGAACGCGTGATGTTCATTCTAAAATGTGGGAGGGAAAAACCGGAGGACTTGGATGAAGATCCACGCGACCACGGGGAGAACATGCAAACTCCAAGTATACAGGCATGGTCAGGGTCGGGATCGAACCCACGACCTCCTGTATATCAGGCGAGGTAGTTAACATCTCCTAGCCACCGTGGCGAGATGGGTTGGTGGGGCGATAACAATGACTCCACTGCAAAAACGTCTTCATATCGATGGTGACATCATCAGGAAACAGACTGTTACCAGCACTTTTTTATATTTTAATCATTATTATCATAAGGGAAGACTTCGAAAAGGGGAAGGCATCTTCTTTAGTCCTCACAGAGGATTGTTTTGTATCTCATCCGACTGTGCCACTCATTCGTTGTTCTTTTTTTACAACAGCTCGAACGCCCGACAGATGTGATAAGCAAAACGACAGCAACATTCGCGTCGACTCGAAAAAGACTCAAACATCTTCATAAACCAAAACGCAACAACGCAAAAAAAAACATTTGCACAGTGAGATTAAGACACCTTCGAATAATTATTAAATATGCAGACGTGTTGCACAAACGATTTGTTCTCGTGAACTTTTTTGCAAAGTAACCGGTGCTTGGCCGTGGACTGCCATGGCGGATGTAGTGTTCCTGCGTGTTACGTGTGGCTTTGCAGTGGTGGTGGTGCGAATGATGGTGGTGGTGATGGTGGTGCTGGTGGTGGTGATCGCAATGGTGGTCGTGTTGGCAATGGTGCTGGTTGTGGTGACGGTGGTGGTAGTGTTGGTAATGGTGGCGGTTGTAATGGTTAGTGGTCGTGTTGGTAAATTGTACTGGTGGTGTAGGGTTGGTTTTGATTCTGGTGGTGGTTCTGATGGTGGTGGTGCTGATTATGGTGGTGTTTGTAGTCATGGTAATGGTGGTGGTGAAAATGGAGCTGACGGTGGTGCTGGCAGTTATGGTGTCGGAAATCATTACCCTAGTGGTTCGCGCACTGCGCTCTGATCCTGCCAGCCAGACTCAATTCCTTACTCCACGAGGCCTCCCCTAGGTCACCTCAGCCAAAAATGAGAACAGCACATCTTGTTCTGTTTGACCATCAGCACCGCAGAGACGCACGCACTGCCAACCACAGTGCAGGCGTTTGTTCGACAAGGCTCCCCCAAATGTCCCGTTGCTCGCCGTACCAGCCTTCAGCCGACCAGTCATTCGGCGACCATAATTCAACTGGGGTGCGGACCCTCTCGAACCGCAAGTCTCTTCCCCCAAGGCTGACCCGGAGCAACAAGCCAGCACTCTCCCCGACGACTGTCCATCCCGCAAGGCCGTGTTCGTTACTACCGGGCCCGTCGTCTCTGATGATTGGGGGTTTGTGATGGCCATTCCACGTGTTTTGTTGTCGTGGTGGTGGCGGTGGTGGCAGCGGTGATGGTAATGTCCACTCGCCCGTATTGGCTGGCCCCTCCCCCTTACTCCCCCACACCTCCCACTCCCCCCCGGGGTTTCCATTTCGGTCACACCGACCGGATCAAAAATTTCCGTGCCCGGCACACCGCATCCAGTACATCACCTCGAAACGCGAAGGCGTCTGGGCCTGTGTTTGTCCACCGCTGCCTCCCCCCTAGGGCCTGCTGAGCTGCGTGTAGATGGGCTGCTCCCAGTGCTGGGGGCTGTGCGCTGCCGCCGGCGCCACGGACGCGTGCAGCGGCGCCGCCTCGCCACCCGGCGCGTACAGCGAGCACTGGCCCGCCGCCCCCGCGTACGACGAGAAGCCGCCCGAGTAGAGGCCACTCGCCCGGTGGCCCGGCGAGTGCCCCGACATCTGGCCGTAGTAAGCGGCGGCGGCGGCGGCCGCGGCGGCCGCGGCGGCGGTCGCCGCGGCCGAAGGCGACGATGAAGATGACGACGACGATGAAGACGACGACGATGAAGAGGACGACGGTGACATGACGGCCGCTGTCGAGTGCTGGTGGTGGCTGCTGCCCTGCTGCTGTTGATGTTGGTGGTGGTGGAGGGCACCGTGGTGGTGGTGGTGCTGCAGCTGCTGCTGCTGGTGGTGGTGGTGGTGGGCGCCGGTGTGGTGCTCCGCGTAGTCGTACTGCTGCTGCTGCTGCTGCGAGCGTGCACTCTGCAGGTCGGAGAAGGGCGGCCCGTAGTGCTGGATGCTGAACGATCCGTAGCTGATCGTCGGCTGCTGCTGCTGTGGAGGCGGAGGCGAGTTTTGCTGCTGCTGCTGCTGTACCGCAGCCTGCTGCTGCTGCTGGCTGTAGTGACTCGGGCTCAGCTGCTCGGTCTTGATGTGCGTCGGCCGCTCCTGCTCCTGCAGCTTGGCCGTCCAGCCGGCCGCCACCGCCGCCGCCGCGAGGCCGTAGCCGTACTGGCCGTGCGGCAGGTACTGGTCGAACTCGTTCACGTCGAAGGGCTCCATGTTGGAGATGACCTCGCTGCTCAGCTCGCCCATGTCCACGTTGCTGAAGTCGATGTGCTGGCGAGCAGGGGTCGCAGCCTGCTGCTGCTGTTGCTGCTGCTGCTGGTGGTGGTGGTGGAGTTGATTGTGGTGCTGCTGTTGCGTGTGCTGATGGTGGTGTTGCTGCTGCTGCTGAGTGTGCCCCATGCTTGGGGCGGTGGGAGCGACGCACGTTTGACTTTCTTGCGCCTGGAGGGGGCGCTTGGCGTCTCCGCCGCCAGCCTTGGCGCCCTGCTCCGTCTTGGGCGTGCTGGGCGGGGTGGGGGGGCTCTGTGCCTGGCCTGCTCCAGACAGCACGCAGGGCAGGGCGGGGTGGGGGTGGGGGGGGTTTCCCATCTCGGTTAAATAGCAACAGACATAGGAACGATAGCGCGACCGCTTTTGCGCACTGCGGGCGTAAGCTACGGATTTGCATTCGTGATCATCGTCGTCAACAGCGTGCTGGTAATGATGATGATGATAATGACGAATAGGGGGCCGTCCATAAATGACGTCACGCGATTTTGGACGATTTTTACACCCCCCACTCCCTCGTCACACGGCGTCACAAAAAGTCAGACCCCCCCCAAAATTTGACGTCACAAAGCTCTGCCCCCCCAAAATAAAACATGGTTCAAATCGCTTTAAACTATTGTCATTGGAGTGCGTATTTAATTTTCCGCTGCACTCTGATGTTGTAGGAGAAAACATTTATGAAAAAAGTATATTTAATTAAGTAGAACGTGTTGTCTATATTTATTTAAAGTTGCGCATTTTGATGTGACGTCACATTTCTCAAACCCACCCCCCCTCGTCACACATCGTCACAAATGTCTGACCACCCCCTAGGTGCGTGACGTCATTTATGGACGGCCCTTAACTTGTTTGCCATTTATGCAGCCTCGTTGTATTGGGTGTTTTTTGGTGGTGGTGGTGGGGTGGAGGCAGCTGATCTTCCACTGTTGAAAGGTCAGCCTCTCCCTGGCTCCCAACAACCCACCACCGTTCCAAAATGTTTCTAAATTGCCTCGGTGGGGACGTTGGTTTCGCCGTTTGACTTGAGTCGCGCCCTGCCCTCCCCCTGCCTGCCACGCCTCCTACCAACCCTGATATCTAATTATAAGTTACTCAGTCTCTCCGCGGCTCTCCGTTCAGTTGTTTTACAGCACGGTGAGGTCAGCCCCTGGTTTGCAAGCACCTGCTAAACAAGGCCAGTAAAAAGGAGGTGATGTAGCCAGGACCGCAGCTGATAAGGGCAACGTACCAGACGGCACGGGGTGGGCTTTTAAGGCTGAGTCGACCTAGGGAAGCCGATAAGAGTGACCTGAAATCCAATCCCGGTTGTTGGGATCGCTGTTGAGCGGGCAACACACAATTGCGACTTCGACCAATCGGATGTACGTTTAAAAGGCTGAGCCTACCTAGTGGAATCCGAACCCCCGGGAAATCTTTCGTGAATCGCGGCTGCAGCTCGCGGGTTATTGGGCAGAGCACTGTTGGCACTGCTCACGTACACTTATCTACGCATGAACCACGTTAACGCACCGACGCATGAACACACAGACACACGCATTAACATGCATGCACACCCCCGATCGCACACACAGGCAAACATCCACACTCATAGGCACTGACATTAACGCTCAGACATGAACTTACGATAAACGTGTGATAACGACACTTACACGCATACGTGCGCACCCACGAATACTAACAACGATCCCCTGTAGAGCCTTAACAGACTGTGAGGGCAAGTGCTGTTAGCGAGCACCTATTAAGTCCGGTAGAACACACGAGGGGGCGGTGGGGTCAGAACCACGCTGAGCCACATTTAACCTCCTCAAATACTCCACAATAGAGGGTTTTTTAGGTTAGATCACATACGTATAAATGTGTCGGGTTTAATTCGTGAGCTTTGTGATGTACATGACAACCCTCACTAATTGGCTGTGTCGGGTGGTGGTGGTGGTTTTAGCGACACATTAATATTTACACGATCTAACCCCCCCAACAAAAACTCTGTTATGGATAATATCGCTCGCGAAAGCCTACTGCGTGTTAAACTCCTCATTGGTGATGCTTACACAGCGCACCAGCTTCGTGCCGCACGGGATGACCCCGAGGGGACAAGTGGAACGCGGTGAGCTCCACCAGAGGGCCTGACCTCGGCGCTGATGGTGGCGCGAACGCTTCCCTCGGCGGAGGAGCGCCTTTGCCTCGAGCTCGGAATTGTTCAGGTCTCTCTGCGTAAAGTGTACGCGCTAAATGTTGACGTCGGTGTTTGTTTGTTTGTTTGGCGATTTTGTTAGGTGTAATACTTCTCTACGCCTGCCCACGCACTTTTTTTTTTTGCCACTGGCTTTCGGACAGTCGCCGAAAATACGAATGCTGCAACTCGCATGTCTTTCTCTTATGCTCTCAATCATATCCCGCGAGCAATCTTTGCTACTTTTAGACTTGATTTGCATTTATTTTTGACGATTTTTTTTTTCAAAAAGATTTGATTTCCAAAAAAAGCAAGACACGTGTAAAAAACACTGTCGAAAAATGAAACATTCAATAATAGGTGACGTTTCAGGCAATGGCCCGTCTTTATAGCAAACAAATCGCATCAAGTGTTTCCTCTTTCATCTGGCAACAAAACAGGTGTTAAGTTAAATTTTGATTTAAAGCTTTCGTGACTGCAGGGATTCATATTATTGGTTCTTTCGGTAAAGTCACGTAGAAGGGAAATAATAAAATAAAAAATATATAAAACAATAAATATTCTCACGACGTTTCGACTGCAACACAAGCAATCATCATCAGGTGTGAAAGCGACAAAAAAATAAAAAATAAAAATATTGCTGTGGATTTCACACCTGATGATGATTGCTTGTGTTGCAGTCGAAACTTCGTGAGAATTTTTATTGTTTTATATTTTTATTATTATATTATTTCCCTTCTACGTGACTTTACCGAAAGAACCAATAATGTGAATAGGTGTTAAGTTGTTAAAACACCAAACTGAAACCTTTTACAAGGAATCATGTCTGCATTAACCACAATACTAGTGGTCAAAATGCAAACAAAAATCATACTCTAATAATATATGCATTGTCTTTGAAACTGATTGATCCACACCAGAGACAGCTTTCTTTTGAGCCTCGTCTCAAACGGTGTTAGACCAGAGGACGCCAACAGGCGTGGACCAATCAGTTCCAAAGACAATGCACATATTATTAGAGTATGTTTTTTGTTTGCATTTTGACCACAAGTATTGTGATTAATGCAGACATAATTCCATGTATAAAGTTTCAATTTGGTGTTTTAACAACTTAACACCTGTTTTGTTGCCAGATAAAAGGGGAAACACTTCTTATCAAAAAATGTTGTTGTTGTTGTTGTTGTTGTTGACAAATGTGTTGAATTTGTTTCGTCAGTTGTGCTCCTGCACCACTGCCAACGTAGCAGCAGCAGCGGCATCGCACGCAAGCAAATTGTCCGGGCCATATCAACAATTATTTCCACGAGCGACGCGCGTACTTATCACCAACCGATGCATTTAACAGCTACCCAACTCTCTCACATAGATAAGTCACGCTTGCATTTGCCAGTAACGTTCTCAGTCAGATAAAAAAAACGATGAAGGATCAGTGAGGTAACTGGGTGGGTTTAATGATCTGCTGTGTGGAAGGCGATCATCCAGCAGTGCATCGAGCAAGGGCTGTCAAAATAACTGGGTTGAGAAGCTGCATCTCCACCCACGAACAAAGAACCCCCTCCACCCGCCCCTTGCCCCCCACCGTCTATCGTAATTCTTAACACATTTCTTTGCAGAAAATGTCATAACTCAGGACTTAGCTACGGTCTTCTTAACCCAACACCCTTGGACAATCCTCTCAGCTCGCGTTGCCTGTTGAGTCCCAACACGCGCCCCGTGTCTTCGACGCTACTAACTCTTAGTGAGTTAGCTTCAATCATTAATTTTTTTTATAATCTCATATATTTTGCCTACGTAAAAAAAAACACATTGTGGCTTAAGTGGACGTACCCACCCCACACGCAGCACGCATCTCTAAATTAAACAAAACTTTTCGATTTAAAGCTTTCGTGACTGCAGGGATTCATCTTCTTGGTTCTTTCGGTAAAGTCACGTAGAAGGGAAGTAATAAAATAATAAAAATAAAACATAATAAAATAAAATAATTCTCAAGAAGATGAATCCCTGCAGTCACGAAAGCTTTAAATCGGTGAGAACTATTTTATTATGTCTTCTTTTTATTATTTTATTACTTCCCTTCTACGTGACTTTACCGAAAGAACCAAGAAGATTAAACAAAACTATCAGTTTTTTTTACGATTAGGACCCACAGAGTGACACTGCCTTTTTTCAGAAGTGACCTGCCCACAAATTAATTCCCAACGCAATGGATTAAGGCGTGGAAATGTATATCAGCCCAATACTCTAAACGCGTGTTTCTAAATGTGGAGGGAAAAACCGCAGGACCTGGAGAAAGTTCCACAGGACCACGGGGCGGGAGAGAGACACGCAAACTCCACATATACAGCAGCAGCAGGCGTCAGGGTCGGGATCGAACCCACGACCTCCTGCATACCAGGCGAGGTAGTTAACATCTCCTATCCACCGTGATGATGATGATGAGAGAGAGAGACACACAAACTACAAATATACAGCAGGCGTCAGGGGTCGTGATCGAACCCACGACCTCCTGTATACCAGACGAGGTAGATTAACATCTCCTAAGCCTCCCTGATGATGATGATGATGAGAGAGATACACAAACTCCAAATATACAGCAGCAGGCGTCAGGCTCGTGATCGAACCCACGACCTCCTGTAAACCATGGCGAGGTAGTAAACATCTCTAGCCACCGGCGGCGTGTCACAATAGCAGGCTGGTGAGGTCGAGCACTCACCGGTGTGGGCCGACAGGGATATGGGGTCACCCAGGGACCCGCCCTCGCCAGTGGACCCCCTTGAAGATCCCTCCGTGGGGGTCCGCTCCGCAGGGGCTCGCCGCGTCCCCGTCGCCGGAGCCCTTGACGGATTTCCGCCGGCGTGGCTGGTACTTGTAGTCCGGGTGGTCCTTCTTGTGCTGCACGCGCAGCCGCTCGGCCTCCTCGATGAACGGTCTCTTCTCGTTCTCGTTCAGGAGGCTGCGTGCGGCGATGATGATTATGATGATGATCGCGATGATGATGATGATGATGAGATCGATTGATTGGTTATGGTGTGGTGATGATTGATGATGGTGGTCATTACGGCGATGAGTGATGCAACGGATAGTAATTTTTGACATCACGATGATAATGGGCAGTCATCAACGATGATGATTGATGATTGTGGTGATGATGGTGATGGTTAGCGAGCAAATGGTATTTTTTTGCATCGCAATGATGGTGGCCGAAAGTTATGAGATTTTGCAGAGAGCATTTGGATCATCAATCATAATGACGACGATGATTTACAAATGATAACGATGATAATGAATACCAGTTTGAAAAGATGATGATGATGATGATGATGATGGAGAGATGGGGAGATAAATTCACGCGCGGACACAGAAGAAAGAAAAACAATAACATTAGTACACGTAACTACTGCATATGACTCGTGCGCGAATACAGACGCAATGGGATAGTAGCAGCCGCGTGTGCAATCACGTGTATGGAAGAGGCAGGTGGCAACCACGTGGATTGGACAGGCATGGCAAATAGATGGCCTCATTTTTTGTGTATGGGTATCCACTATCGTTCACTTGACTTTTCCACTCAGCCACTCAACAACCGCCGACTCACTCGCTCACTCGATAACTCACTCAATCACACACTCACTGATTCACTCACTTCAATCCAGTAACTCATCACTCGCGTGTTTACGCACTCAGTCGCTTGCTAAAAAACGAACGTTCACTCACTCATTCGCTGCCACTCCAATACACTCACTCGCCGATTAAATTTCACTGCTCGCTCATTCACTTAACTCACTCGCGCGCTAACCTCACTCACCAACCTCACTCGTTCACTCGAGCGCTCACCAAATGACTCTCGCGCGAACGCATTCTCTCAATCACGCGCTCGCTCATACGCACACTCAGTCACTCACGAATTCACTCGCCCATGCGCTAACCCACTCACCGGCTCACCGGCACCATTCACTCACCGACTCACAAACTCACGAACTCTCTCGCTTGCTCACCCCCCTCCCTTCTCTCTCCACCTACATCACGTCTGCTGGAACGAGAGACGTGCCCTGGGGGATTTCATAACGGCACTCCATTACCCGTCCCCCGCCCCATCCCTCAATCCCTCAGCCAAGTCCACTGAAAACTGGGCACCACTGCCACGCTGCTTTAGATTATTCTCGCAAAGGGCTCAGCACCAGGGCTTAATTTCGCAGCGATATTTTGTGGAAAGCTGCTGCTAGGCTGGATTGGAACAATATGGATTATCGGTGCAAGGCACTGCCAGTAGAATACAAGTTATGCCCGTCATATTAAAAACAAAAAAATCCTGTAACCTTTTGAACAGGTTATTGCCCGAAACGTCGGCTGTTATATATGCACCACTGCCCACGCAGCAGTATCGCAACATGTATTGTTGTGATGTTGAGTGGAATTGACCAATAACAACAATGATAAACAAAAGTATATTGTGCAGTTCTTTGCTGTGAATCCATTAGAGTTGTTGATCGATTCTCACTCACAGCCAACATCAGCGACTAGTATCCGAACCGGTCCTGGGCCTCCCCTCGACCGACTCAGCCTCAAATGCGCACCTGGTTCGATGTGTAAACTTCCCCACGATGGAGCTAAATGGTGCCCGCCATGGTGCAGCCCCCCCCTCCCTTCCCCCCACGTATTATAAGGTGCTCGCTAACAGAACTTTCCCCAAAAAAATGTTTGTATTAAGGATATACGGGGAATCTTTGTCTTTTCTGCTTGACCACAAACTACATCACGCTTGCCCGTGCCAGTTGGGGAAAGCGGGCAGGGGGCGGCCAAAACCGGCTCTGATATCAATCACTCGCCACTGATGTTAGCCGTGCCCATAAATCTAACGCAGTTAGGTGGTGGCCAACATTGCCCGCCCTTGCTCTACCCTAGCAGATGTATATCTGGTGTCTAAGCATCTCACGTGTATATTGATTGACTTTGTAATATCGTGCGGTCACGTAACTCAGCTCATATGTTTAAAATCATATTTTATTTCACTCACTGATGTGCGTTACAAGATATTAGTTTGATTCTCGAAACTGCGCGAACCTTCTAATAACCAGCGTGGAGAAGTATGGTCAAGCAACATCACCATGATCGAAACGGCGACCGCTAGACGGAGCAAACCCGTGAACAATTCCCAGTTCTCTGAGCCATCCCCAGCTACAAACGTCCATTCCTTCACCGATGCATCGCTCAGGACCACGCCTGTCAATCCACTGCTGGATGAACGCCCCCTTTGCACGACGCGTCAGCCACGGAGGGTTGATTGAGCACCGACCCGCATTGGCCAGCGTGTAAGAATCGACGGTCAAACATAACCCTCGTGATCGAAAAAGCATGGGGTGGTGGCGGAGTAGGTTGGTATGAATGCACTCAGCAAACGGACTGATTGGCAAGCGAGGCTGAAACGGAGTCTCGTAATTAATGTAATACAGAAAATGCAACGCGATGCAACACACGCGCACACACTGTTGTGTTTACGTTGCGTCTACACGCAGCCGAAACTCAAGTCGCAATGCCGACACAGTAGTGAGGGCACGTGCATCACAGGCAACATACATTGACGATTTTATTTTGAACACACACGCAGAGAGAGAGACATATCCGATGCCGATGAGGACATTTATTTCGCCTGCAATTGGACAGGAGAGGGCATGTCAGCGAGGGCACGGTGTGAGCGAGTCAAAAGCGCGCAAGGTGAGTTCTAACCTCCAGACTATGATAAGAACAACAGACTCTAGAAGGAGGAACGGCCTACCAAAACAAAGATAAAGATCCCTCACCCCACCCACCCCGCATAGCCTTAACAGACTGTTGGGGCAAGTGCTGTTGGCGAGTAGCAGCACCTTTGACCAGGACGTGTCCTAATAACCATCGAACTCCAGTGGCCGGGTTTCGTAGCATAGCGCGCTAAATGCTATACAACCGCTCGCCAACATACACACACACAACAACACACACACACTCCAACACACCAACACACACTCGCCAACCCACACACACACCAACACACACACACACCAACACACACACCAACACACACACAAACCAACACACACACACACACCAACACACACACAAACCAACACACACACACACACGCCAACACACACACACCAACACACACACACCAACACACACCAACACACACTCACCGCCACAGTTTGCCCAGCGTCTTGCTCAGCTCGGCGTTGTGCAGGTGCGGGTACTGGTCGGCGAGCTTGCGACGTGCCGCCTGCGCCCACACCATGAACGCGTTCATGGGCCTCTTCACGTGCGGCTTGCACTTGGAGGAGCCGTTCACCCTCACGGGCATCGGCACCAGGGTCCAGTCGTAGCCCTTGAGCACCTGGCTCACCGCCTCGCGGATGCTGTCCGGGAACTTCTCGTCGTCGTCATACCGAGTCACGCAGCCGCTCTTGCGGGACCCCGCGACCCCGTGGCCGCCGACCCCGCCAACGTTGCCGGCCAAGCCGCCGCCGCCGCCACCGACGCTCATCCCGGCCCCGTAGCTGCCCAGGCCGCTCTCGTCGCTGTCGGAAGCGCCGCTCAGAGAGCCTCCGTGCAGCGACGGCTCAGACTCGACGTCGGACACGTCCGGGCTCGGCACGTGTGACAGCATGGTGTGCAGTCGCTTCTCTGCCATCGCTCGCACGCTAGCTCGCTCGCTCCAATCGCTCGCTCCCCCTCTCTGCGCGCTGCTGCGGCTCTGTGTGTGTGTGGCTGCCTCTCTCTCTCTCTCTCGCTAACGCTTCGCTCGGCGCGTGTCTCGCTGTGGGTGCGCGCGCGCCTATCTCTCGGTCGATGGCTCCGACGCCGCCTCTCTCGCGGGACAAGGCAGCGAAGACCGACTGCGCGGACGGAGGGGTGCCCAGCGCTGGAGATGCAATGCAGAGCTTAGCCTGTGCTGCTGACACGTCGCGTCAACGCGCGGGGAGGGGAGGGCATCGACGCTCACTGTGTAAAAGAACTGCTGCCCGAACCGTAGCAATGGCGAATGAAGATACCGACGATGGTAACGATGGGAGAGTAACGACTCAGCCCCTGCGCTCGCTCCGCTCTCTCACTCTCGCTCTCTCTGTCTCTCCGACCCTGCAGAGCCGCGCACAAACTCCACTTGGGCTTCGCTCACGTTATAAACGCCTAATTATAAACATCGCCGAGTGACTCATGCCTCCAGTGGGCGGGGAAGCCATCCCCATTGGCTGAATGTTTCGTTATTTTATTTTCTACTTTTTTCTAGTTCTGCGAGTCGGCACCCCGTGGGGGATGAGGGGGTGGTGGAGGAGGGGTGGGATGGATGATGGGGGGGGGGCAAGGGGAGGAGGAGGTGTGCCGAATGGGTGGGGGGTGCCAAGTTGCTTGTACGAGGTGGATGGGTGGGTGAATGCTGGACCGTGTGGCTGAGAGCGTTTGTGGCTTTTGCTGTTAGGGTGGAGGAAACCCATGGATTGTGAATTCTGCCGCTGTTGCTGCCGCCGCCGATGATGATTCTTGCTACTGCTGGCGCTGCTCTTTCTCTGTCCGTCTTTCCGAATGAATCGTGACGGTGGAAGGCGGCTGGCTCCGGCACTCGGGCTTAACGATAAGCTGTGCGTTGTCAAGAGGCGTCTCGTCAGTGACCGACTCCTCTCTGTGATGGTGCCGAGGCACGAACCTCGCGGCAGGGCACGCGGGTAGGTCGACGCGTAGTACATTGTGAACATGCTTAGAGTGAGAGGGGGGGGGGCAGGTCTTACACCTGTGTACTCACCCCGTACAAATAGTCAGCGATAGATCCGTACATACCACGACTATCTTTAATAGTTACCGTGGCATTTACAGCCCGAGCGCCATACACTTAAGTGCCCAATGTTGGCCGATTAAACAGAAGGCTGGTGCTGGTGGGCGGATCGTGGATAACGCCAGCGCGACTTCACGTCATTTATTGATGGGGACGAGGCAGCCTCGTCCGTGTATTTCTGCTTGTTTATTGTTTACGCGCGGCGGCTGCTTGATTCGACGCGTTCCACCACCTGCAGCTGCATCGCTCGATGCGAAAGCTGAACGCGAGTTGCGTCGCGGGTTGCGTCGCGCCGAGTCGCTGTTGCGTTTTTTCGTGGGTTTTTTTGCGGATACGCAAATTGCAGGTGGCGACGAAGGGCATTTGTGTCTTTGTTTTGCTGCATTTCCCTGTTGCGTAGTGGTGAGCGCACTGCGCTACAGCGCCCGTTCGAACCCGCGTTCGACTCCCGCGCACGGCTATTGACGACGAACATCTGACCACGTGGTTGTGGCCCCGACCTGAACACAAGTAACTGGTGGCGATGTTACACGCATCATCGGTCGGGAGACAAAGTCGGCCGATGTTGGGCGCGGTGCTGGTCAAGAACACTCTCTCGTTATGTGCCGCTCCGGCTTTCTAACACGTATGTACGTTGAACTTCTTTCGCACCGTGCTAATCGGAGGTGGCGAGTGAAAGACAACAAACTGAATCACGCAAACTGAAAGAGGTGTGTGGTGCGGATTATAAATGTGTGCATGCACTCTTTGCTGCGAGCAGTAAAGTCTGCGGCGCCCTAACTTGTTGCAACTTGATTAGAACATTTTGCTTAATGATTTGATGTAAAAAAAAAAAAACATCCGGATGTTTTGAGGGCAGGTATCGTCCAGCAGTGGATCGATCACGGCAGCTGATGATGAAATATAAACACTTCTTCTCAGTTGCTGATTTCTTAGCGCTGTACTTCGAGTGACGTCACCAATCCACCGATGGTTATCGACCCGCGACGGAACGCCACGTGTCACTCGTGGGAGTTGTTCGACCATACTTCACCACTCTGGTCGCTACGCGTTGGTGATGGACGGAGACGACGAGGGCAGCATCTGTTACGTGAACTGGACTCTAACTCGTGTCGCTGCTGTTGTTCAGCGCAGTGGGCGAACCACAAAGACAAACGCACACACGCGCACTTGATGTCTGTGTGTGTGCGTGCGTGTAACATGTGGGGGAGCGGTAGTGTAGCGGTTAGCCAAGCTGCGCTATGAACCTGGCGACCCGGGTTCGATTCCCGCTCACGGCCAACACCGGCGACGATTATTTGAAACGGTCCCGGGCCCTCCCCTAGGTCGACTCAGCCTCAAAGGAGTACCTGGTGCGATTTGTAAACATCGCTACTGGGGAGACAAAGGCGGCTGGGCGTGGTGGCGGCCACCCCACCCCCTCGCGTGCCGTGTCGGCCTTCATAGGTGTTCGCTAATAGTCTTTTAAAGCTATATGGAGGGTCTTTGTATTTGTTTGTGTCTACACGAATGGCAACATTGCAATAGTCAACCGTGTGTCTTGCTTTAGAATTATGTAAACGACACTAACGCATGAATTATGAATTATATACGCAACCATTACATATCGCCTTTATCATCACTATCATTATGAATGCTATGCACACACATGCATCGCCTTTATCCAGCAGCGGCTTAATTAAGTAAGTGCTAGATTAATTTATTGGTTAATTATTCTATTCCATTTAATTATTATAATTACTTTACATCATTACGCGTGTTGTGCCCCGTTTTAGTAGCGGATTTACGCTGTGAAACTGTTGAGTTCGTGGAACAACGTGCAGAGGCATTTAAGAAACGATTCTCTTCCAGGAGAAGCAATTTATACTAAACGTCTCTTACCTCGAGGTTCGGTTTACACCGATGGGGGGCAACGCCAGCAAACGAATTCTGACGAGTAAACAAGCCAAATGACGTTACGATGGATATAAACACAGTGCTCCGGTGATTATAATATGTATACATTATACCGGCATATGTATATGCATGGTTCACGAGTTAATGCTCATGTGGTACTTCGAATAGGCATTATATGCATGTCTGACAGCTCAACACATACACACATACACACACACACGCATACACACGGTATATATATGTTGTGTGTGCATACGCAGTATGTTTGACGACGGGGGAGCGTTGGGGCAGTGGTTAGCGCTCACAGCGCAATGAACTGCGGGCGAGACCTCTCCGTTTTGAACCCCAGCCCACGGCAAGATAATTTTCTTCACGAACAACCGGAATAAGGAAGTATGGTCAAACGACCCCCATAACCTTACAACGTCGTGGGGGGCGGGGGTGGTGAGTGGTGACCTTCATCCAGCAGTGGACTGAGAAAGGTGCTGCCGAACATAATATACGTTTGGTGCATGTAGACACACACGCACACGTAGATGAACGCATACACATGTATACGTAGTGTTATATGCATAGTCTACGGGCTGCGTTGGTATAGGCAGGAGGCTAAGTCGCTATGGACATCTATTGCGTGAATATCTAAAGTAGAGTTGAGCTATGAAACAGCTGCCCATTGACGTTAACATCGCACATTTGTCAAACACACGCACCTGGATATACAATCACACAGTCGTACAAAGTCGTTATATTTTTCACGGAACATTTGTCAAAGTAATATACTGTACATAACTGTGCCATTGTACCAAATACGTAGCCGACAAGCGTTAGTTTTTTTTTTTTTTACAAAATCCACAGTAGTTTATTATTGTATTACAGTAGTTCGTATGCTAAGTTGTATGTATCAGTTCATCGCGGAGGGATATGGGATTTGGCTAACGCAGGACCGTTGGGATGACGTCTTCATCTCGCTCTAGATAGATACAACATCATGAATTGCCGCTGATGATGATGGTGATTTGGGTCTATGGTCATTAGCACATTTAGCAGCGATGTTTACACGAGATATGAGACGTGCTTCGTGTCGGTGCTTCTCCCCAAGGCAGTTCGTCAATCCACTGCTGGATGAAGGCCTCTGCGTCAACGCGGCATCAGGCGTGTGGGTTGTTCCACTCGATCACACTTCGCTCACGCTGGTGGTCAGTGTGGCTCGGCGAAGGTGGTGGTGGTGGTTGTGGCGGGGAGCGGTGGCGCGGTGGTTAGCGCGTTGTGCTCGGAACTCGGCGCACCCGAGTTCGATTCCCGCTCACGGCCACCAAACACCGGTGACGATTGTCTGAACCGGTCCTGGGCCTCCCCCAGGTTGTCTCACCCTCACACGAGTACCCGCTGCGGTGTGTATTAAACATCGCCACGAGGGAGACAAAGGCGGTCGGGCTTGGTGCTGGCCACTCACCCCCCGCAGGTGCTCGCTAACAGCACTTGCCCCAACGACCTGTTGAAGGTTATACGGGGGATCTTTGTCTTTTGGTGGTGCGGAGGTGGCAGAGGGGGGGGGGGCATCGGTTCGGATATCGCTTCGCCACTGATGTTAGCCATGGCCGGGAAAACATCGAACTCAGACCACCGTGGTTCCGATGACAGCGCACTGCGCTAATCGCTGCTCCACCGCTCCTCCACTCACGTGCGTAGCGTTCGCTGTCGCGCTCTGTGTGTGTGTGGTCCTTTAATTAGATTCATGTAAATATATAGTGTATACTATATTACATATACAGTGATAGATTACTGGACATGACCCTTGTTTTAGATTACTGTCTGTATATCGATGTGTGTGTATACACACACATCGATATACACACACATCAATTAAATATACACACAGTCATCTATACACACACATGAATCTATATACACACAGCAATCCAAAATAAGGATCACGTTGTCGAACGCAAACCTTAGGTGTCAATGTCCCGCGTCTGTGAATCAACTTGCAGAGAAAATGACGAAAACTAAAAAAAAACACTCCCCTCATTCATCATCAACACCGTCCGATAAAGGGGACCATATAGACAGCGACAGGCTAACGTTTCAGACGACGACCCTTATTCGGGGTATATATGGTTGTTTGACACAGCTTTCTATGAAAGAGCCGCCAATGCAAATCTAATCACAGCGCAAGACCACGATGTGTAAATTCCCCTGCCTTTGTGCAATCGCAATGACACGTATTTCCTCATTTTCCCATTTGACCACAAACTCGGCCACCTAAGTTCGATTTCCCGAACACACGGGCTAAAATTAGCGACATCTCAACCGGTCTTGGTAAACCACAACATCATCAACTCGAACTTTCCAGCGTGGTGAAGTATGGTCACCCCCCCCCCCCCGCACGCTACCCCCACTACCCCCGCCGCCACCCCCACGCTATGGCCAAC